AGTATATGATATCTGGTATGACGATGCGATCATTTTTTTGTCGTTATCCAATTTGATTATAAAATATAAAAATAGAGTGTTCTAACTATATAATTTTTAGTACCCAGGTTTTTATATAGGTAGTAAAGATTTTTTATAGAATATAGGCTTCTTGAGCGATTTAAAAAGCAAAATGAATAAAATGTACCAAAAAAGTGTCCCAGAACTCTCTTTTTCACCCTACTCGTGGAAATAAAAGAGAAGGAAGCAATACAATTTTGGAAGGAAAAGTTAAAACATTAGCTCAATTATCTGCACCTTCTGACTTTAACTATTTCAAGCATAATATACCACTTCATCAAAATTTTACTAGTTTACCACCAGAGTTTCCTGACAGCAATATTACTCCATATAGTTTAATTCAGTTATTTTTTTCACAAACTATTTTTACTACGATTCAAAAAAATACTAATGAATATATACAAATGAAAAATGCTGGTGTATCTGGCCGTTCTTGATTACCTTTAGCATTAGGAGAATTAAAAATTTGGTTAGGAATTGTTTTATATATGGGTGTAATTAAATTGCCCAGAGTAACGGATTATTGGTCTATTGATATCAAATATCCTAAACATAATATTACTCAAATGATGTCTATGATATGTTTTTAGCAAATTAAACGATATTTGCATATATCAAATATTAATTCTGAAAAGCTTTGTTGGTTTGACAAAGTTGAGCCACTTTCATCACATATTCGAAATATTAGCAAACAAATTTATATGCCTGGTTCAAATGTTGCAATTGATGAAATGATGATACGGTTTTCTGGACGTAGTAAACATACGTTTAGAATGAAAAATAAACCTATTTCAGAAGGTTATAAAGTTATATCTTTATGCGAAAAAGGATACACTTACACATTTACATATGAATCACATGTTGAGACGAATCAAGAAGCTTCAAGTATTTCTGGTCTTAACAAAACTAGATCGATTGTATCATATCTTGTTATACAATTATCTAATAGTCGGGCATATAATATATATATATATAATTATTTTGCAAGTATTCCCCTTTTTAACTATTTAAGAACAAAAGGATACGGTACTTGTAGTACAGTACGTACAAACTTTGCATTGTTCCCTAAAGAATTAAAAGTTAAAAAATCAGTTCGTTTAAATTGAGATACTTTGGCTAGAAAAGTTATAAATAATGTTTTAATAATTTTTTGGATAGATAATGAACCTGTTCATATGCTTTCGACTATTTATAGTATTAAAGGTAATAAATGGAAAACTTTAAAATTGCGACGACGGCCACGAGAAACAAGCTCAAATGTAGTCAATGTGTGAAAAGTTTTTGGTAATAAAATACGCAAAGAAGTTTTAATTCCAAAAGCTATTAATGACTATAATCATTTTATAAATGAAGTAGATATTGCTGATCAATATTGATCATACTATAATTGCCAGCTTGCTGCTTCACGTACTTGAATACTATTATTATTTTGGCTAATAGATACTGCCGTTGTAAATTCGTATAATATCTATAAAAAAAATGGTAATTATTAATTAGTTTAATTTATTAAGAGCTTATTAATAAATACGTACTAAATATCAACTATGTATAATAATAATATATTTAATATAAATTAATAAATAGGTGGAAATATTGCTTATCGACAATTTAGATTGGAACTAGCATGAGATTTTATTAGTGATGGATTAGAAAACCAACAAACAAAAAAGCAGCATTTAACAGAAAATCAAGCTGCTATTGTTAGCAAATATTATAAACTTCCTGACCTTTGTCTTTCTGGTACAGAATATTTTCCAGAATGGAGAAATGATCGTAAAGCATGTGTTTGGTATTGATGGGAATCAAAAAATAAAAATGAAAAAATAAATGAAAAAAATCCATCGCAAAGTCAAATTTGGTGCAGAAAATGTAATATAGCTCTTTGTTGTAATGTATTTCGTCCTTTATGTTATGAAAAATATCATATCTATATTGAAGAATAAAATATAATTTAGATTTGTAATACAGATAATAATAGGGTAAATATTTATGTCTTGCATTTGATCATATTTAGTATTTGTATTTCGCATTTAGTATTTGTATTTTGCATTTAGTATTTATAACTTGCATTTGATATTTAGATATATATACCGAATATGACATTACGTGCTTCCTCTAATGATATAAATAAATAATTTTTATTTACTAATTTTGGCCTAAAAAAAAATAATTATTAGCATATGTAAAATTGAAATTTTTATTTAATCTAATTTTTTTTTTTAAAAAAAAAGATATAGCCTCTAAATTTTTAATATATATAACTAATCGTATTTGGAATTAAATAAGTTATTGGAGGTTTAAATTTGATTAACATTAATTTTTATAATAATATATAAATGTTTTTTATAAAAATTATTTAAACTTAAAAAATTATTTTTAATTGCAATTTATATGTTTTAATACTATATATTTAGGCTTTTTGAATATTATCTTAAATATTTTTTTTTTAAATAATTTTAACTTTTCTATATTTAATAAAACTCTATATAAAAATTTGATAATAATATTAAGGATCGTATATAATAAAAAAAAATTAAAAAACTAAAAAATAAATTTATTTAACTATATATTATAAAAATCGGTCAACTTTAAGCTAACTAGAGTTATTCAAAATATAATTAAATTTTATAATTTTATAATTTAAAAACAAATATATAATTTAGAAAAATACTATACTAAAATATTAAGTAAAATTATATAAAAAAATTTTTTTAAAATATTGTATAAATTTTTGCAGACAAATTTGCCTGCACCTACCCTATACATTAAGAGATAACGTGTTTAATATGCATAATGCAGATCCTTTAAATAAGTTGCATAAAATCTGAAGCATAGAAGAAACTCGTTTCTGGCACTTTCTGAACACATGTATTACACAATTATTTATACAGACAATGAATTGCATTGTACTCTAAAATTAAAAACCACGATTGAAACCGCTTTACCTGATAATTGAATCCAACGCTATTAAAAAATCTAACCATTATAGGTTTTTCTAACAGAAAATCTTTTTCAATTGCTTTTATATGTTTTTCTCAGAAAGTTTTCATAAGAGCTCATGATAAATTATAGCAATACAATCTTCCTATAGCTGGCTTTGATTGAATGATCACAACAAAAACACATTTGTATTTTCCTGTGAAATACGAGTTTCTTCTATGCTGAAATCCGATTAACATAAATAAGTGCTTCTGATATTGATCTGGAATTAAGCAAATTTCACGATTTTGATTGGTTAAGAGTAACAGGTAACTATTGGGTAATCTCATGATATGCTTGTATTTTTTATTGCCTTTCATTTATAATTGAAATGCTTCAAGTTCATTTTTACTGCAAATAAATAATATGTTACTGAAATTGTTAATTAATAGATTTGTTTTAATATTAATACAACTAAAGCTCCAATCCGAATGTATCCGCCATCTATTTATCTGATAAGTTTTATCCAGATATCCATTTTTTTAATTCAGATATATGAACGGATTAATCGAATCATTTGATCAGAATTACATGATTTTGGTACCATTTGATTCGTCTTATCAAGACGAATCGAATGGTACCAAAATCATGTGATTCTGATTGATAATTCATAAAATAATTCAATTTTTATCCAGACTCAACTTCAACCTTTGAAAATATATATTTTTTTTGTCAGACTCAATTTCGACATTTGAAAATATAATCAAGCAAGTGCTAACTTCAAATACAATAGTGTTACTGTTTACTTAAAGAGCTCTATACTTTAATAGACCGTCTGAACCCATCTGAACTTAGGTAAGCAGATATTTTTTAATATATTAGGTAATTGATGCTTGAATCATTGTTTAAAGGGAGTCAAAAATTAGTATTCTATATTGTATTATACTAGTACACTACATATTAGTTCTAGTAAGAAATCACTTGGTGCTTATTTTGCGATCTTACAAATTTATTACTATAACAAGATTATTTCAACTAGTCCTGCAGGCTATAACCCTAACATTGCCTAGAAAAATGAACTAGACTACTTTGCTTGCTTAAATGTAATTTCAGATACAGATCTCCAAATAAATTATAATTTTTTTTTTTTTTTTTAGTGAAAACACTAATACTTTGTCTTTCATCAAGAAGAATTTAGAATTTGTCTTTTGTTATCATACATTGTATTAATATCCTCCTATTCAGTTGTAACAGAACCAGAAAATCTCTATAATAGGTCCTGCCACAACTATATTCAAATACTACTATAAATATGAAAAATGTGACCAACTTACTATAGATTCGAATTTTTATAATGTTTTGTGAAGTTCTTGACTTTATACAGTAGCCTATCATATTATTGTAAACACTTTTTAAAAATTTATACAGAGCTAAATATATAAGATATTAAGCTAAAAATTAAATTA